CTGCGCAAATCGCCAAAGTTGGTGAATGTACTGGTTTAATAATACTTGCTTCGTCCCATTTGACGATTGAGCCCTCAACTTGCGCCATTTGCGATAGTATTGTGGCGTTAGATCCCTTACTGATATTGTACTTGTGNTAATGCCTTGTTTTTAGTGTTTTTTTGCATATCTTGCGGTTTATAGAATTTAGCATAATGTATTATTGTGTTACGTTTTTAGTTTAATTATCCTATGCTTTTTTTCATATACATATTTTATAATAAGAGTTTTTATTTTATTTTATTTTTATTTATACATTTATATATATATATATATTTCGTTCGTTATTTTGTTTTTTTGTATTTAAAAATTTTGTTCTATTTTCTTTGTATTCGAAAAAGCTTAGCCTGATGATGGCCAATAGAGTTGGCTGAAAACGTTAGCTTTTCATTAAAAGTTTTCTCAGCAAATTAAGGTGTTGTGTTTTTTTGAGTTTACAAGCAAGTGCTGAGTGAGTGTAATATAGTTTTTTATTCCTTTCACATTCATTACACATTCAGATTTTAATGACATTGGTTAGTAAAGATTTAAAAACTAATGATTAGCTATAATAGTTCTAATTGAAACTTAATATATTGGGAAATATATTTATACTATATTTTGTATTGGGTAGTTGGTTGAAACATAAATTTTCAATTAACTATACATTGATAGTTGGTTGCAGGTTTAAGCTTGATAAACAGGCTAGCAATGTGGAGTTTTCCGGATTTTATTCAGCTGTCTAATAACTAAATAGGGGTTCATTTTTCCATTAAAAATTCTCTCAACAGTCATCTCCTTTGGTAGATCACCCAGTGTTTCATTGTCTTGTTCTACCAATCCAATTTATCCTTATGACTTTTCTCTGACTGCATGAAACTAAGTTATTATAATTTATAGTAATACTTATGTTGTAAATATGTTTAAGGATCTTACAGATTATAGAAAAAATGTGCAGCCTAGGAGCCATAGATTGTCAGTGCCTGGTTTAATGCATCACAGTGGAATTTTGATAAACTTTCGTTACAGATGGTCTACATTATTATAATTTATCATCCCATTATTTTCACCATTCTGTTGCTCGTTCAACTTTCCTATTTTGTTTGATCATTCCACTGCTCATCCTCTTCCATGTCGTCCAATCTAATCCTTGCTTTCTCACTTTTTTGATCAATCCTCTCCATCTCCTCAGATTCTTTCTCTCATTCTATTTTCTTTTATTTCTCTTTTTTTTCTGTCTCTCTCTCCATAATCATTTATAGGATTCATTCCTTCTTCATCCTTTTAACCTTTAACATTCCTTATTTTTTCATTCCACACACAAACTAAGATTTGTATTCCTTTGTGTAACATTTTATAAAATCTTTCATGCTGTGCAAGAATGTCATTGTTAATTCCATGGAATGTATTTCAGATATTTAGGAATATTCTCTGCATTTTTGACATAAATATTTCAGAAAAAGTAGAAAATTTATTCATTAAAAGTGCTTGAAATCTGCTTACAAGTGAACGGTATAGTATAAAAAAATGCTCATTTACTTTTAAAGATAAATTTGACCAGAAAGGAGCATCAAGTGGTTTACTTAATGACAAATCTTTATTTATAAACTACAGGCATCATAAAATTTTATTCATATATCTGTATTGGTCAGAAATAATCAGTTTTTCCATAATTTAATACTACTGGGCAGCACTTAACATTTTTGTTTTCCAGAATTAAAATTAATATATGATGTTTCTATTGAATCATTATTATTTCTTCTAAGTTTGTGATTAATTATACAACTTGAAAACAGGTTTTTCTTAACAGTTTTCAGTGATATCAAACAGTAAAATGTCTTATCTTGCCAGAAGGAAGGTATGGAGATAGGTAAATTTTCTTAAATTACAGTGGAAATTTGTATAAAATATTAATAGGAACTGTTAAAGTTTATATGTAATCAAAGAATTATCGGTAGGATTGACCTATCGATAATTCTTTGATTGATAATGAAGCGTTTTTGAACCTATTTTATTCTTGAGTAGAGCCATTAATGCTCCCGTACGTAGGCGCTTAACAGCAATTCTGATGACTAACGACAAGGAAATTGTCATCCTACGCGTAATTATATAAGGTATATAGGAAGATAATTATCATTAAATGAAGTAGTAACCGTTAATGTTTGTTTTTCTATGCAGAAACGCCCTTTAACGATTTCATTATTGTTTAAAAGTGCTTGTTAATGTGCTTGGAGCGTCGCCATGCGTAGCGACGCGCCACTCGTAACTTTTAGCTTGCCACGTTGCGTGCCGATAAGTAAATTTCTAGTAGTATTTACGAAACTCGATGTTAATATTTATTAACTAACTAAATGGGATCTCAGATTACGCACATGTTCGACAAATGCGACGAAAGTGAATTAACGCGTCTAGTTGCGCCACGCTTGTGTGTTATATCTGTCGCGTAGCGTACTGTACATAAGTAAATAATTTAATAAAAATCGGAAACAGAACAGTTATGTAATTCTGTATTTGTCAATTTTATTGTTTGGCATTTATCGAGTATTAAATTTTTCAAATAATTCAAATAATCGCGCGCGAAATCGAAGTCATGCGTCGCGTCGCTTCGAAACTTCTTGTGACGTTCGTAACTAAGCGCGACTAATTTAATTTAACACAAGTGACAGAAGCGGAAGCATTTCGATTCTTTTTGTTTTTTCTTCGTTTATCTTGACGTAAGCGATCTTTAACGCTAAACATCCGTCGCACTTTGTTGAGAAGCGCCACTTCATTTATTCGTGCAGTCGAGGAGGAATTTTGACGTTTTGTTACGTTATCGTAACGATGTTTGACACTTTATCAGTTTACAGGAAGCGTAGAAACTGCTAAACTTCCGGCATTTGAACGGAAGAGGCGCGATAAGTCGCGTTTCTTGTCATTAAGAGCGGACGAAATCGCGAGATTTTAGAAGAAACATGGAGGTTGCGGGTCGCATTTAGGTTATTTCTTAGAAGATTATCGATTCGGCACGTCCGTCGTCTGCTTACTCCCGTTTCCACAACAACCTTGATATTCACACACGCTGTTATAATTATGGATGTAGCTGCCTTAATTAGTAGCAATTTTCGTCACTTCTCCTCCTCCTTGGATTTTAGGCACGTGAGTAGCCTCAAATTAATTTATTCTCATTTAAAATTAATTTTTGTAGACATGCTTGTATTTCTCACGGGTTTTAACGTTAATTGATGCTGTTTTTTTTCTTTTTGGCCCTTAACTCTTCCTTCTTTTGCTGTAACTCAATATGTTTCTGTAGCAGATGCTTTAAAATATAACTTTTATTTTTCAGAATATGAACTTTCGAACAGTTTTTTTATTCAGTGGAAATTTTTATTTACAAAGATTTTTTACTTTAAAATGCTTTTTTTTTTCTTTTAAAAATAAAATAAAGTTGAGGTAAGAATTTATATTACTGTGATTTAGAAATATGGAATTTTAAATAAATGCTATTGTTCTGATGGCAGAGTTCATCAAGAAATTCTCATTCTTTTAGCAGAGCAAGTGGAGAAATTTCATCCTTGTAACAGAGATGATGAAATTCTCTCTTTTGTAGTAGAGTTAGTGGAGAAATTGTCACCCATAGCAAAGTTAGAAAAGAAATTTTCTTACACATGATAGAATTAGAAGGGAAATTCCTTCTCTTCTGGCAGTTAGTGGAGTACAGTAGAGCGTCGATTTTCCGAAAGTCAATCATCCAAAAGAATTCCAGTCAGCAAATTTAAATTTTTCTCCGTTGCGTGTCACTTCAATCTTTGGCTGTGTCTTGGGCTACTCAAATATTTTACGTTTTTGATACTAAATTAACATCTGAAGTATAATTTTTTATTATTTTTATATATTTCAATATATTTATTTTGTTTGTACAAAATAAAAAAAGAATTTTTAACGATACAATAGTCTTTGTTAGGCTTAACATCGACGAAAATTCAACGCGAAGTGACACGCAACGGAGAAAAATTTCAACATCGGATATGTTAAACATTTTTTTGTACGTAAATCAGTTATCCGAAATATCAGTTATCCGGACAACCCCAGTCTCCAATTGATTCGGAAAATCGACGCTCTACTGTATTTGCTTCTCATACAATCAAATTGTCACAAAATTTTTTATATAGCAGTTTATCGAAGAATTAACAGTTGTTTGGCACGTTGCTAAAATATCGAGCTTTGGGATATTCGTATATGTATATATAAATCTAATTAATAGTCTGGCATATCGGGTGATCTTGGATTACGCACGTGTTTGAGAAATGCGACGGAGTGAATTAACGCATCGAGTTGTGTCACGCTTGTGTGTTACATCTGTCGCGTTTGCTTATTTGAATGGTTCAGACTACTGATAGTCATTATTGAGTTTACTGTTAGTTTTATATACACTCATTGGTAAAGTCAATATAATGATATTTCTGTGAATGCTAAAGGATTAATTATATTTTTGAAAAGTCTAACATTAACATTTTTAAGTAGCTAAAATATTCTTTTCTGAAGTCAGAAAGAATATTTTCTTTTAAATATAAATTTTATGGATTAAACAACTTCTTACTGAGTTACTGGAAATGACAATCTATACTGAGAACTTTTATAGCACAGTAATAGCAAACTTTTAATGAATACTGTTTTCAATCATAACCTTGGTCTTCATCAGGTTTATAACCAAAGAGATTCGAACATGGAACACGTGCATAGACAACATTTAACTGTATATGTTATCATAGCGATAAAAATATCTCCACACTATAGACAATAATTAATAAGATATAATTAATGACATATAAAGAGGCTGCTAAATAATTATAAACCTGATGAAGATGAGGTTATGATAAAAAATGTTAGTGTTCATTAAAATTTTGCTATTAAAAGGTTCTTGGCTGTTACTGTGTTATAAAGGTTCTTGAGTGTAGATTAAATTTTATGGTTTTACTTCATCAAAAATCTGTTTCTTATAGGTGAAATGGAATGCAGAACTTGAGTTTTACAAAGGCAAAATGATCTAATCAACAATGACAACAAATCTGCATTTTCCAAAATCTCCATCATTCTCCAAGTTACAGTGGAGATGCTTGTTAACAAAGAATGTCTCAGCAAATCTTTCTCCACACAGCGGCATATAAACTTAGGTAAAAATTGTTTGTCGGCGTGAAACAAGGATGGTAGTTCACGAACAACCCACTTTTAAACATTCTCTATGTCACTGGATTGCTGCTATTAGGCTTTCTAGACTGATAGCTTTGCTATTGTTAGTTCTTGTGATGGTTCCTTTATTCACTCATTACTATCTTTCAAAGGTAAGAGAACTTTTTCAGATAAGTGTTTTATTATTTGTGTGTTAATTTTAATGGTAAGTTTTTCTGTAGTTTGTGGGAGATAACTCCACTTCAGAAATTCATCACAAAGGTATACAATTGGATAGTCTGATATCTGTCAAGTCGACTGATTTAAAAGTCAGAATTGAAGAGATGTTAAGGATTAAAACCTCTGTCAGTAATGAGCTGAGAGATCTGGAGAGTCGAAGACAAAAGTTACAAGTGAGTTTTCCAATATTTTTATCATAAAAATTATATTGACATACTTCAGTTTTGGGGAAAAAATCACTATACAATAATAATTTATCACACATATACAAAATGCATTCATATATGTATTATTTTCCAAATAAAATGATTTTAATGAGAATTGGTCAAGACTTGGCAATTGTTTGTTCACAGTTTACAAAATTAAACAACAGAAGTACAAGAAATTCATGATTTAAGATGATATATAAGTTTACACACATACAAAGCTTCACTGGGAGTTGACATTCTTCTGTAATACATTATTTAGATATTGTGAATGGATTAAGATGGACTACATTACATGTATGATCAGGATATCATTAATGTAACTATTGGGTTGTTCGGAAAGTAAGTTCGTTTTTTTTCGTGGGAAAAAACCACAATATTTTTATAATAAATAAATATTTTATTGAATTATATATCAACCATTTTGGTCAAATACCTGTTGTCATCGTTTCTGGTAGTAGCATGATTTCACATTCATAAAAGTTTTGATCGTTGCTTACAAAAAACTGATTCAAGTTATTTTTGACATTGTCATTTCAAGTAAATGTCTTACAGTTAAAAAAAAATTTGTATAGACCGGAACAAGTAATAATCCGAGTGTGCTCGATCTGGTAAATATGGTTGGTGTGATAGAGCGTCCCATCTAAGTTATAACAGTTTCTGATGAGTTACCAAACTTGTGTGAAATTTGACATTATCGTGGTAAAACACTAAACCTGTTTTGTCGATCACTTCTGGCCACCTTTTCTGGTTGATGATATTACTCGATTTGTTTACTCGATGTCAGTACACTTTCAAATTAATTGTTAAATTGTCTGGTAAAAGCTCCAAAAAAATTTTCCTTTAAATCCCACCAAAGAGAGCAACTCTCTTCAAGAACATGTGGAACCCATATATCGAGCTTTGAAACGAAACTAATTTGTTTCAAGTAATCATAAACAGTTCAATTTCACAAATTTAATCTCTTAGTGATTTCACGTGTTGTTATTTGGCAGTTTGCTTCAATCAGTATCTTTATTTTGTTTTCGTTGGCTTCAACTGGCCATCCAGAATGTGGTGCATCTTCAATAATGAAATTGCCAGAACAAAATTTTGTAAACCAGTTTTGACACTGTCGTTCTGTCAATACATCTTCTCCATACACGTCACACAAATTTTTTCTCACTCAAACAGCATTCTTACCTTTTCGGTAATAAAAGAGCAAAATATGCTGAAAATGCTGCTTTTGGTCTTCCATATTTGATGGGACACAAAAAATATGGGAAGTCAACTTAGTTTCTTCAAATTTTTTAATTTTTACAAGTATTAGTATTTAATAAATATAAAAAATATGAATTTGACTTTACAAAGTTAAAACTTTGCATTTTGTCCTTCCTTTTCGCCCTTCACACCATCAACAGTCCTTAAATAATTTGTGAATTATTTAAATGTGAATATATGCCATTCATGTACTTGTATTAAATTTTTTTAATTTAAAAAAATCAAGTATTAGTAGTTGGTAATAGTGATAGATAAGCTGAAACACAGTTCATCAACTATAAATGTAAAGACTGTTAACTTACTCTATTCTTCTATTCTATCATAATATCCCTTGTAATGACAAGTGATATTGTGTATTGTGGTTAACCATTTAATCTTAATGTACAGATATTCATTTATATATATATATATATAGGTGATGATAAAGTCTCAATCAGTAATTGGAAAATTGGTAAGAAACAAAATCATTTGTAAGCAGGTCATGTAAAACATGATGATCCAAGAAGAGAGAATCACTATTGTTTTTACTTGTTTTAATGGATTAACATACATGAAGTACAGATAGATTTTCTGAATTTCTGGGTGAAGTCTACTCTTACCAGGGCCAATATCAGATTGTTGGTTACTAAATTTGGATGAATGGGTAATGTACATGATGTACAGTACATGTTCTAGGAGACCCACCATACCAGATGAAATGATTCAGTGTGTAGAAACTGCAATAACAAAGTCTACATCATCAACCAGAAGACTAAGCCAGGTATTCACTGTGCCATAACTGACAGTGTGGGAGATCCTTCATTACAAACTTGTAAAACATGGATAGCATGTTCAGGTGTTACATAAGCTGGAGGAGGAGAAAGAGGACTATGCCACCCATCAAGCAATGTGTCTTGGAGGCTAGGGAACAAGCAGATTTGATGTTATGTCTGTGTACATTAATCCATTCAAACAAGCACAAGCCACAGCAGTTCTGTTTCCTTGGGTCAACATGCTTTACACAACTAGCAAAGAAATGGTTTTCCTACCATTTTCACAAAAATGGATTGCGACTTTATAATCACACTGTATTAACCGAGACATTTTCAACTTGTTGATCTATGTAATAATTTTGCAGAATACTGGGTAGGTTGCCAGATCTTTCCCTGGGTTAGAGCCATTTGGCCAGTATACATATGATATGCTATTGCTTTCTTTGACACCATGCTGAGAAGAATCATAGGACTTTCACTTAGGAATAATGATGTGTTAGACCCTTCAACCAAGTCAAGAATCTCCTGAAAAAGCCATATAGTTCAGCAAAGGCTATTTTTCTTTATTAAAACTTTATGAGAATCTCTCTGGGAAAGAATATCATGTTGAATACAGTAAGTGGCTGAAGAAGTGGAAGACTAAGAGTGTGCTGGCTGGATATCACAATAAAGCATACTGACATGGAAATGATGGAATTGAGAGAAGCTGTGTGAAACAGAATTTAGTGGAGAAAAATGCCATGCATATTAATTATATTTTGTTAATACACAAGAGATCAGCAGGGGAGAGGTGCTAGTAGGAAGGTTAGGAAATTTACAGGGGTGTTGGCAGAATTGGTTGACTCCCTCTCTTTCCTGAAGTATGAAAGAAATTATTATTTTGTCATGCCAGATTTTTATCATATAAAAGTTTAAGATCACTGTCTTTCAGTGTTAATAAAGTTTTGACATGACAAAATAATTTATTTTATACTGCAAGGAGATATTTCTTTGTGCTCCTAAATGCAAAAGAACGTTGGAGTATCAATGTTCTAAACTTTGTTTTCATTTTGCCTGAAGAAGACATTCTATACATGTCAAAAGTGCTTGAGAGATATTTTGCATTTATTTTTGTGCTTTGCTCATGAAAACGTTATTAATGTCAAAAGAAAGTAATCTTAAACTTTTATCCGTCTCTTCATATTCCTATGTCAGCACCAGTCCATGTATATCCTGCACTGCTTGAACAAGTCCCATCTGCCATTGCAAGGGATAGTTGGAAATCAAGAATACAAACCTTGCAGTTACCTGTTTATGTAAAAGTGGTTGATTGGATATGTATGAGCAAATGTCTGTCTGGCATCACTGCAGAAGTTGCACACAGATGTCTGTCTTTGTTGGAATACTACAGACACTTCAAGATGTTTGTGATGACTAACATATAAAAATTATGTTTATTATAAATAAATAATTACAGATAAAACATATCTTTTGAAACATTCCAATATAAAAGCTTTATGCAACTGTATAATTTTAAGTGCTCTTGTCATTGACATGTAGACATTGCAGTATGTTGTGAAACATCTTTTTACATTAACAAACACTTTACCTCTGAAGTAGGATTCAAATACAATATACAGTGAGCAAAGAATAATGTCTGACTTCATCCATCAATGGCCAACACTAATAGTTGACTGTGGGTTTACACCTTGCCGACAGGCTAGCCAAATCAAGTTTTCCAGGTTTTCTTCACATTTAATACTTAAATAGGGGCCAGTTTTCCATAGAAAGTCCTTCTGGGAGACAACACCTCAACAGATAGCCTGAGTTGTCACATACAAACAAGTAAACAAAGAATAATGTAACATGTGAGGATCATACTGAAAGTCATAAGCAACTATTTTTTTTAAATTAGATTAATTTATTTTTGGAAAAACAAATACATCATGGCATTTTTTAAACTTTTTTTTATTTTTACACATAGTCTCGATTTTTTGGATACATTTTTCTCACTGTTGTGGGGGCTTGAAAATTTCCTTATGATAGAACCTTGTTCCATCACTACAAAAAACACTGACACACTGCTTTCTTGATGTTCTCCATCATTTCATAGTGTGGATCTTGCATGTTTTCCCTAACAACATTGAAAAGATGATAATTGGAGGGTGCTAATTTAGAACTGTAGGGAGGATACAGAGGAACTTCTCATTCCATTTACCAAGTTTCCTCCATGGTGTAAGGAGAAGTGTGTGGCCTCTCATTGTCTTGCTGCAGGACATTTATCATGCAATGCACAACAGAGCTTATGAAATGTCATGAAATACTAATCAGCATTAATGGTTTGTCCAGGCTCAAGAAATTCCACCAGAATCATTTCATCTGCATATCAGAAAATGAAGCTCATGGAACTCTGCAGATGGCTGCTACAAAACTGATGTTTGATGCCTGGATTTCCATCTTTAAAATGTTTTACTCATCTTCTAACACTGCTGGCACCCATACACATATCTCCATATGCATGCCGAAGGTTCTGGTGAATTTATGCAATGGATTCCCTCTTTAACTATAAGTTCAATCACAGCGACTTGGTGAAATGAAACATCAGTTGCAGCCATTTTGTATCAGCTATCTGTGGTCAAATGATGGAAGCTAATGATGTTATGACTCACTCGTGGTGCTATCTATAGCCTATAGATTATGACAATTTCTTTAGTGTTTCATAATTAATAGATTGTGATTTATAAAAAATTGTTCCTTATGATTTACGGTATGACCAATGTACTTGCTGTTACATTGTGAAAGTTTAGATGTGTTGTGAGTTCATATATTTTAGTATATGATAATATCGCATCTTATTTGTATATAAAAAGTCATTTTTTTTATTATTTATAGTGTTTTTAATATAATTATTTTTCTCAAAATCCAATTGTTAAACAGTTTTTAATATATTTTTTTCACAGACAGAAATTGCAGTGTTGAGCCAACGTGTTGAAGATTTAAAGGCAGAATACAGTCACCAGCAAATAGAATTGGAAAGGTTAAGACTCTCTGTAGAACAAGCACAGTATGCACAAAAGGAGATGCTTGAGAAAAACACTCCCCAAATATCTGCACCCAGGAGAATACTTCCGTCTGCTGCTGATGTGAAGTTCATCCCTCTCCCGTCTACTTCACTTGTTAAAAATTGTAGAATGCATCTATGCTTCGATTTTTCTAGGTGTTCTGTTCTGTCAGAATTTCCTGTGTACTTTTACCATCCAGATGATTACAGACTTTCTTGGAACCAGTTGGATCGTTTTGTTAAAATTTCTGTGACAGAAGCTTTAAATATGAATGTGCACATAACATTTGATCCTACCATAGCCTGTGTGTATGTTGTATTAGTGGGCGAAGTGCAACGCGGGGACCAGTCTAAGTCTGCATTAGAGAACTACCTCAAAAATCTTGCACATTGGAATGGTGATGGTAGAAATCACATTTTACTGAATTTAGCTAGGAACACGAATGTAACAGATGTGTTTTCCGGAGTCAACACTGGCCGTGCCATACTTGTACAGTCACACTTTTCTGCCACTCAGTTCCGAGACGGGTTTGACATTATTTCCCCTCCTTTGATTGGACCAGTGAAAGGAGAAGTCTGGGAAAAACTACTGCCTCATTGTCCAATTAGAAGAACTTACCTTTTATCGTATCAAGGATTATATAGGACTAGACAGCACAATAGCATCACCCAAAGTAGAAAGTTGTTACATAGTCATGTCAATCAAACATTACCGGCTAGGAAGCTTTTTCAGGATGATGACGATGATGATATTGACTCCGGGGATGATTTTATTATTGAATCATTGAAAAGTATGCAGTCTGGATCAACTGATGATAAATTTAATTTTCAGTTTTCCTGTGTTGATCAGAGTGTTTTCAATACAGAATGGTCTCTCTGTGATAATTCTGACTCTAGAGCATCACTGCTGTCACAGTCAACATTTGTCCTTATTGTTGCATCTACAGATTATCAGTTAATAAGCACTATTGATTTGCAGTGGAGGTTGTTTGAGTCTCTCAAATCTGGTGCCATCCCAGTTATATTGGGTAATCACGTTCATCTCCCATTCCATGAGGTTGTAGATTGGAACAAGTGTGCCATGATCTTACCAAAGGCTAGAGTAACAGAACTTCATTATATTTTACGCACTATTTCAGACTCTGACATACTGGCCATGAGAAGACAGGGAAGGCTCCTCTGGGAACGTTACATGTCTACAACACAACAGATAATAAATACAGTTTTAGCCATAGCTCGCCAAAGAATACAAATACCTCCAAGTGCAGCACAGGAGGAGCCTTCACCGAGTGTTTTTAATGCAACATTCCAGCCACTGAAATTAGATGTGGCAGCCGTACAGGACTCTGAACCAGAAGAAAATCTCGGCCCATTAGAACCACCTCTACCCACCCCAAAATTTTATAGAAATATAACATTCACAACAACTCAGCAATACGAAATATGGAATGATTTAATTGATCCATTCACCCTTTATCCTTACACTCCTTTTGATCCAATACTCTCTTCAGAAGCTAAATTCTTAGGTATGTTAATCAATTTTTGTTCATGTTTTTAAACCAAAATTTATAGATTTTGTATATAAATATAAATTTATAAGTTTCAAAATTAGGATATTATCAATTACAACAACAAATAAGAATAATACAATAAAAGTTAAACTGTATTAACCTGAAACTGTGTACAAGTCTGAAGCACAGTATATGGGGTATGGGGTTCTTCGTATAATACCAATACAGTCTCATTAAGTCAGAATTGTTAGTACTTGAACTTAAACCTATTTTCCATATATACTCTGTCCTTTGATAGATCTGTGATCTTCATTTTCACTCATATTCCATGTGAATTTGTATTCAGACAAGATAAATACTATGGCTCTGTGCCAAACACAACACCATGCCATTACAATCTTGTGCTGGCAGCCTTCTACTGATAGAGTATTGGGACACCTTGATAAAAAACTCAAAAGTGCCATAAACTGTATACAATTCTGCATTGTTTGATAGCAGGAAATTTACAATCACACAAAAGTTTGAGAAAATTAGGTATTAAATTCCTTAACTTGAAGTAGGGCTATTTTATTTCTTAGAAATTGATTTAATGAGGTTTTACTGTAATAATATTTATCTAAATATAGAAAAAGCATTTTACTGTAGACAGTTTCACACTAATTACTTTTAATTTTAAAAAGGCACTAGATCTGATAATTAATCACATTAAATTACAGCTAAAAGATGTCAAAGCAAATTTTATAGAATAGTATCATTTTCTATGCATTATACTGTAAAATTTTATAGCAAAATCATTCTGAATTATTTTTCTCCATTTATTTACAATTTGCAGAATGAATTTGGTTCAGATACATTGTCATACAAGACAATTTCTACTCCAAAATTTCAGAATATTAGAAGGTTTAGCTCATGACTATTGCACAGAACTATTAAAACTATTTCATTTTATTTTTAAATTTATTTTGTTGAAAAATTTGACAATTTATCAATACAAAATATACCAAGATACTCAAGCAAAGTTTTCTTTTGACCATAAGCAGTAGACTTGATGACTCCATGACTCAGTCGTGATTGTTGTAACCCTGCTAAGCATCATAAAATAACAAGTGAGGAATAACATTTGAAACCTTAAGTAAGTAAATTAATGGCAAGTAATAAGTCTGTCAAACATCATCAAGTCTACTTCTTAGAATAATCAAGTGAAAAGTTTACTTATATCAATTTATTCATTCTGTATTCTTACATTTCTTTTTTACTCTTCTACTCTTCTCAGTTTTGATCTATTAAATTCTCATCAGCTTGGCATAAGAATGAAATTCTGCTATAATAAATCTGTTGTTTATAATTCTTCTATATTTTTGAAATGTGGTGCCATTACGTCGTCTAGCTAATATGAATAACTACATTCATTCAAATATCTTAAAATAAGTAACATATGTAAAATAACTTTTATCATTGTTTTTGTTTTCTTTGATAGAATTAAATTTGTAAACTTTCAGAGCTTTTATTAGATGACTAATTTCTATACATTTCACTAAATATTTACAGGATCCGGGTTTGGATTTCGTCCGATCGGTCAGGGTGCAGGAGGATCGGGAAAGGAATTTAGCGAGGCACTCGGAGGAAACATACCACGAGAACAATTTACAGGTATTGCAATCTTGAGAGATTATTAATTTACAGACAAATGATATTATTGTTTATTATTAATAACTTGAGAGATATATTATGTGTTATACAGCTACAGAATACATATAGATGATTTAAAAAGAATTAAATGATTGATAAATTAATAGAATGTGTTTACAATATAAAATCTAGTTGCAAAAATTCAAAGTAAAGAACTGTTGTTAATAATGGTTTTTATGAAGCACTTTGTGGAAAGATACTTAATTTGTGGAACAATGTAACATTGCTGAGATCTTCATAAAAGTCTCAATAAACTCTATACAGAGATAAGAAAAAATGGAAAAGTTTATAGAATAATATAATGTAAATTAATATTAAAAGAACTGACTTTTTTTTCCATAATAAAAAAAATTATGTTGGAAGAGTAGTACTAATGAGAACCTACAGGTGGGAATGCAATTTAGGGTTTTGATACATAGAAAGGCCCAGATAGAATCTGTGTATTTACTAGCACACTGTACCATAATATGTATAATAAAATTTCAATTATAAAGTCTAAAAATCAATTTATGTAATTTCAAATGCATAGATGGAAGAAAAATAAGTGTAAATAAACTTAAAGCATTATATTAGAAGGAATACATAGGCCTGGAGGCATTAGTTCTAGCCCCTTAATTATTCTCTATAGTTCTGCTGTAATACATAATAGAAATTTTGACAAGAAAAAATGGAACACAATGACTAACAAAAGTGACTTAAGTTGCTAGTCATCTTTACTCTTCTAATGTACAGTACAATACCATAAACAAAGGCAGAGGTGGGGAAGAAAGTCTTCCAGCATATTTCTGGCTGCTATCTCCCAAATACCCTAAATTTATAAATCTAGTAAATGAAAGATGGTTTCAGCAAGAATTGAACAGTATACAGTAGAGCATCGTTTATCCAAATCAATTGGGGACTGAGGTTGTTCGGATAACCGATTATGTACGAAAAAATATATTAACCTATCCCCTGTTGAAATTTTTCTCCATTGCGTGTTGCTTCGCGTTGAATTTTTGTCGATGTTAAGCCTAACGTATACTTTTTAAAATAATAATCGTGGCTATTGTATCATTAAAAATTATTTCTTTATTTCTTACAAACAAAATAAATATATTGAAAAATATAAAAACCAAAAAATATATACTTTAGAAGATGATCTAGTATCAAAAACGTTCGATTCAGCACGACACA